CACGCCTTTGAGGGTACTGACGATGAGCTGCTGGATCAAGTCCGGCGAAAATGCTTTGGCGATTTCTACCCACCCGCATCTCAAGCTGCGTATCGTGGACGTGCCAATGACACTCTCGACCGACCAATAACGGTGGACGAAGTTTACGCAGCCATTCGCAGCAGCAATCGCAACACAGCTGCTGGGGCAGACGGAACCACGTACTCCCTTACCAGGAACCTCAACGACAGCGCCGTACAAGAAATCACGGCGTTTTTCAATGATCATTGGCAACGTGGCACGCTTCCTCCTGAATGGAAGCACGCGGAGGTCATAATGATACCGAAGCCGGGCAAAAAACTTCAGATCGAAAACCTCCGACCAATATCCCTCACTCCCTGCCTTGGTAAACTCTTCGAGCGCGTCATCACTAATCGCGTGCAAGATTACCTCGAAGACAATGACCTTTTCCCGCACTCAATGTACGGGTTCCGGGCACATCTTTCAACGCAAGATGTACTGCTACAATTAAAAGAAGTCATTGATAACGCCCCCCAGCAAGGAGAAAACATTATCTTGACTTCAGACATTAAGGGCGCATTTGATAACGTTAGCCACCAGGCCATACTTGAGGGCCTCGAGGCCCTTCATTGTGGGCAGCGCGTCTACAGTTATGTTCACGCCTTCTTGTCGGACCGCACTGCCACAGTCGGTCTCGGCTCCATCCGATCAGATGTTATCAAGGTTCCGAACAAGGGCACCCCACAGGGCTCAGTGATTTCCCCGCTACTCTTTAATGTAGCTATGGTTGGCCTGGCACATGAACTCCACCGCATCGATGGCATCCATCACGCAATGTATGCGGACGATATCACCGTCTGGGCCACGCGGGGGTCCCTTGGAGAAAAAGAATATAACCTGCAGCAGGCAGCCACATGCGTCGAACAATACGCGCAGGCACGAGGCCTGGCCTGTGCAACAGAAAAATCTGAGCTTCTACGAATTTATCGACGCAGGCTCCCACCATCGACGCAAAACAACCAAGGCTCCCGCCTCCAGGTTGTCCTTGCTGGCAAACAAATCCCAGAGAAATCCACCATTCGAATATTAGGCATGTGGGTACAGTCGAACCGCCATGTGAATCACACACTTTCCCTTCTCCGCACCACTACACTGCAAGTGGCCCGAATGATATCTCGGGTAGCCACTCGTCGCCATGGCATGCGCGAGGAGGACACCCTGAAACTCATACGTAGCCTCGTGGTCAGTAGGGTGACATACAGTTTGCCCTACCAACGCCTCACCAAGAGCGAACAGGGCCAAGTAGACGCAAAGCTCCGCAAGGCCTACAAAGCGGCACTCAAGCTACCACCGGGTACTCCTTCTAGCAAGCTCCTCGAATCGGGCCTACACAACACCTTTGAAGAACTTTGTGAAGCGCAACTCGCCACACAACTGCAACGGCTCAAGCAAACACCTACAGGCCGTGACCTGCTCCTACGCCTCGGCTACATCAGCCAGTTTCACGACGCAGCTCGTCGCAAGCCCATTCCGGACCAACTTCGTGCCACTTATAAGGTCGCTCCCATCCCCCGCAATATGGATCCCCGACTACATCAGGGCCGGAGGGAAGCCAGAGTGGAAGCCCTCGAGCGAACTTATGCACACAAAAACACTACGTACTATGTTGACACCGCCAACTACGACCATGCAAACAATAAGGCTGTAGCCACAGTCGTGGACCACACACTCACAGAACGTACCAGCGCTTCCGTGCGGTGTCGCAACATCACCGATGCTGAAGAAACTGCCATCGCGCTCGCTCTCGCCCTCGGCTACAGACAACGAAGGTCGCTGACAGTTCTCACGGACTCTCAAGCAGCTTGCCGCAACTACCTACAGAGGCGCATCAGCCAACCCGCTCTCAGCGTCATCATGAGCGTTACAGACACTGGCGAGCATTCCATTACACATCCACTCAGAATATGGCATCGGATTATATGGACTCCGGGCCACATGGGACTGGAGAGGAATCAGGCAGCGGATAGGGTAGCTCGAGGATATGCGAGCCGAGCACCTTTCAACTCCGCCCCTGAGGAACTCATTCCGGTCCCTTGCGACTATTCGGCCATCCTAAACCATTACAGAGGACTTAGAAAAGCTTATTCGCTACCACACCGAACACTAAATAAAGAGGAATCGGTCAGCTGGAGGCAAATTCAAACCGGCACGTTTCCAAATTTGCACATCCTGAGTAAAATGCACCCCTCGGCATACTCTCCTCTCTGCCCATGGTGTTTAGCTAAAGCCACTCTGTACCACGTCACGTGGGAGTGTCAGGCCATTACAGCCTTACAACCAGTACAAAATCCAACAGCGGAGCGATGGGAGGAGCTGCTGGCCAGCGAGAACCTGGAAGATCAATTGAGTCTGATCAACCGGGCCCGCAGAGCGGCTGCTGCAAGCGGAGCCCTGGACTAAGGGCCCCCCCACCGCAAGCCAAGCATGTCCGACTACTCGGAGCTTCTCCGCAGAAAATTTCATGTAATTAAATAAATAAATATGTTTCCACCACCACCTGTCACCCAGTTGTTGTCGCGGCTCGCAAACGTCACTACGATATCCGGTGGTGTATACTTCGATGATTTTCGTACGCAAGAAGCAAGAAAAGACAGTACTGCTTGAGTTGCTGGCAAGTGGCTGTCTTGTGATGCACGAAGAGCAGAAAAAACCAACGACGCCAGCGGCGTTGGTGGGTTCGTTTTGCTCTGCAAGACCGCAACAAGCTCGGTCACGCCCACAGCAAGCTCGGTCACCTCTTCCACGAAATACGGATGTGAAGTAGGCACAGAGTAGGTTAAACTCTCGTTGGTTTCAACACTCAGTTACGTGCACTGCGGCATAACAAGTCAGTAGGGCTTGGCCGCCATTTTTCAAAATTCTTTGACTAGCGCTCCTATTGGTCCGTGGTGACCGATCCGGCGGCAGACGCCGCAAAAATCGGTACGAGAGCGATCGGCGTGGAGAGGCTCTTTCGGCAAATCTCGCCGCCGCCGAACCGGATTCGGAGCACTTTCTGCAACCGGAATGATCAGTGTGAACGCGGCCTTGCGCGTGGCAGCTCTAAACTGCCACGCGTACTTTGGCCCGCGTAGATAATAAGAGGGTATACGCTCAATCGCGCAGCCCTTATCTTGCAAAGGGAGAATCGTACGTCTTGGTTAGTTTTAACGCTCATTCACACCGAAGGCGGCGCGGCAAAGCGGCGAAGCGGGATTTCCGAAGTGGCGAGGCGGCGAGTGCGTGAATCTGTTCAGACCGCAGGCCTCCTTCGTCTGGCCGCGTGGCAGAAGAGGTGGGCATCTCGGGATTTTGCCCGCGTGTCGCTATGACGTGTCGGTGCTTCTCCAAAACGTACACCCGCGCCACCACCACGCCTCCGCTGCGTGCGTTGCAATTGGTTGCGGCAAAGCGGCGAGCCTCGACAGGCAGAAAAAAATTTCTCTGAGAGCGATCACCCTTGCCGCCTGGTTTTTCTCCCGCCTTCGCCGCCTGGAGAGGAGGTTTTTCCTCGCTTTCCGCGTTGCCGCCTCACCGCTTGGCCGCCCGGCCGTCTGTGTGAACAAGTCTTTAGAGTTTCGTCGGAACAACTCTGTTGTAGTTACTGGGCACACGAAGGTCACTGCAATCGTTGTACCACCTTCGCGCTTTGCAGACACAGCGAAGTAATAACTGGGAAGCTTATTCGCGTCAATCTGCAGCTGTGAATACGTTTCGTGCGTTCTTCGTGCGTGAGAAACGTGAGGCATGTTTCGATATGGTTGCCATTCTTCGCGTGACGTTCCCATTTCTCGCTATCGCGTTCATTGCTTTGATTTAGCGGCAAAGCTGTTGCTTTTTTTACAGAACTGAAGAAACACCATGATGACGCCACTCATACCTCAGTGGGATTGACTTTTCCACAATGAAAAAGACGAATAACACGCAACAGTCCTTCAGAAATCAATAAATATAGCACAATTGAAAGCTTGGAAAGCTCGTTTGAATTCATTGGTTTAAAGTTGCACTAAAAGATGGCCGCTAAAAAAGCGGTATTGAAAGAAAGGCTACTAACAACTGAAATAGTTGCCAGAACAAACGAGTATGACGTTATATTTAGGTCTGGAGGTCCGATGCCAGCTATTTCCGACAGCGTAAGTGCTTTTCATAGTTTACATGTATATACTTCGTTTTGCCGAGCAACAAGCCAGAATTGCGCTAGTAGCCATTTTACTGGCACATATCTTGTGACAACAATTCTCGGCCCCCTACCGCAGCGGTGAATGCGTAACTATTTCACCGACGTTGCGGTGGATCAAGGTGGGCTCACGGCCCTTTGCAGATTCTTATGGGGCCACCTTAAGATGTGTACCCATAAAAAATCCGAGTGCCAAACTGTTGTACTCCTCCTCCCATTAGGAAAACCACTGAATGTGTGGTCGGCACCGGGAATCCAACCTGTTCCTACCCGCCTAAAATGCAGACGTCCCATCGTGCAGCGATCATTGCGCATGAGGCATTGCTCACCTTCATTGGGCACTTGAAGACATATTCGAAAATTGCCTCGTGTTCTAGTTTCTTGGTTCCATTGACGCGCTAGGAGATAAGGAAGTAAAGCTGGTATTCTCAACGCTAATTTGTTTTTAGACAACTCTCCTTAAGCTGTTTTTCGTTAGCGCCACAATCTAAAAGTTGTAGATGTACACCGACTCACCTCGATAACACGCTTAAAACAAATTAACATCCTGTGTGCATTATTTAAGATCATGTTTACGCGAATTCGGTAACAACATGATGAAAGTGTACTATACATTTTCAGTATTACTATGCGATCACACTTCCTGCTGAATAACCACGACATGCAACTCTCTGCCACCACGATCCTCCATAGAGAGAATTTGAGGCATCTGTCTAGCGGTATAGCACAGCTCCGAAATTCTCTTTTTAAAATTATAATCTCAAACTAGTATCCTTATGCCTAGGTGCTACGTCAGCGTTGCCGTACTGAACGAAATCATCTATGCCATGGGCGGATTCGACGGTCGGAACAGACATAACACAGTGGAGAAGTTCGACACCTACGCAAATCAGGTACTTAGTGATCTTTTGATCATTAACGTATATATGCCTGAACACTGAACAGTACCCTTCCACGGTGCCTCATGTTTTTAAACAAGTACTTATCCTTTTTCTGCGCAATCTTGAAGACATAGTTATTCAATGTGTTCAAAATAAAAAAATATGTTTGCATTTTGCTTTCCCACATAGTAGAACGTGTGTTGTGCGTAGTATGAAAAAGAGCAATATCTTAAGCCAAAGTATTGATAATAGATAATTCCACATGTGACGTGATGCACCACCAAACACTCCAGCTGACACATAAGCGGATGCATATATTCTCTGGTTTTAAAATTGCTCCAGGTCTCCGCCATGCCGCATAGACGATGTGGCAATGGTGCCAGTGACACATCACCTGTATGTGTGCAGTTTCACAGTGCTCCAGCACTATACTATAGTATAGTGTCACGCTAGTGATGTTAGCAAGCTGATTCCTGAGACAGTATTACGCGTATAAATATCAAGTTGTTGCAGAAGCTTTCAAGCTCTTCGCCGAGCACAACACTGTCACTACTCTTCGAGACAGAAGTAGTCGGGTACACGTGTCTGAAACGCGCGTGACAGCTGCCCATATCTGCAGTACAGTTGCGTTAACGAGCAGTTACATTGCCTAAAAATTGCAAAATAGTAGGAACGTTACTTCTATTCAATGCGGCACATGTACAGTGGTGTTCATTGTTAAGGTAAACACCACTCACCGTGCCAGTGGTCTGTGGAGCGCCGGTGCATTTCACGTAACTGCGCATTGAATCGAAGTGGCGCAGGCGCAATCAAGCGCGCCGCTCTTGCTGTACTACATTCAAGCAAGACGGGCACGTGGCTTCTACGGGGCGGTGAGCTCCATCAATGTGGCACATGGTGTAAAGTGTCTCCCGTGTGTCCGCGTGCGTATGTGCCACTACGGTTCGATGCGCATCCACGACAGCTGTTACGGCGCTGCGTGGAAACCGGCCACGCTGAGCGGTATTTACTGTAACGTTAACACTACCTTGCCCGCGTACAAGTTAAATAACACTGACATCACATTTACTCAGGTCAGCACTATTGCATCCACGCGTAGCTATAGCTATCAACCCCATCAGCGATTCGCGACCCAAACGCAACTAAGAGACGAACTCAAATTTATTGAATTTCATCACTGGTAACTAGAACGGATACTAGCATGATTCAAAACGTCTGGCAAGTCCACCATTTTTAGCGCTCGGAGCACTTGCTCGCAGTCACTTCCAGGTCGCGCCACAGCTGACTACTTCTCCACTAAAAGGAGTGACGTGAGGCACAGCTGCTACGCTTACACTTCTTCTGCTAGATACTATATTATTGCAATCTCAAAGACGATAAACCCAGGGAAAGTATCCAGTGGCGTTATTGGAAGTAGTTATGTAAATTTCACGAGTGAAAACGGGCCAAACGACAACTTTCCACCAGCAAGGTCCGAACCTGCGAACTTCGAATAACACGTCCGATGCTCTAACAACTGAGCTACGATGGCAGTCCTCAGCCTGTCTATTTTATGTGTCTTTGAATGCGGGAGCGTCAGTCAATGCCACCTGCTGCCATTACGACGAGTGTGGAACACTTTTTCCTTCCTGTTTGGAGTCGCGCACTGCGTGACTTATTTTGAGATGGTAACTGACTATTAATCCCTCGCATACCACCTCAAGGCATAACATCTGCCAGAACGAGACCCTCGCCATGAATGAAAGAAAGTTTAAACGTGATGGCTCGTTTTCTTCGTTAGGCACAATATTTATGAGAACTCACTCACAGTAATGCGAAGGAAAGTGTAGGGTACGTTATTAGAAAGCAATTGTAATGCCCAGCTTTGTTGTTACGGCGGAATTAACCCAATATCACGCTGGTGCAAAGAAGCGTACGGAGGAACTGAATTCACTATTAACGATGCCTGCATGTTAATTGTTAGCGATAATATTTGTTTATACGCTCTCCCACTTTTATAGCTTGTGGTGTTGTTCGCGTGTTGCAGTTCCAGTAATGAAAACGACACACTAATTGCAGCTTTTCCGCGCTTCCAACGAGACAACTGCAGCTCCCTACATTTCCCCAACATGCTGGTTGATGCTCCCTTCTTTCGCTTTCTTTTTTCATTGTTGATTTGCGTCATGTAATTTCAAGAGATCATTCAACGGTGCAACGAAGATCAGACGTGAGGAGTGGGAGCATTTCGAGGCGTCCGCGCCAGTCGGCGCTGCGATAAGAACTCTCGGATCGTACACGACATTGCTACTAGCGCACCATCGCTCAGAATTATATTGTCACACAGCAAAGGACGACGCAGTTGTCTATGAGGAAAACAAGTTTATTGGAACGAACCTGTGCTGCCCTAACAACTGAAAAAATACACAGGCGGCGAAGCAGCGGCCAGCAAAACGACGGGCACGCTAGTGAGCGTCGCCGATCGAATGACGCGGCATCGGCTGTGCGGGAATTTATATCCCTCGGCGCGAGGGTTTCTCGAATAGTCGAATTGTATCGAGAACGCCGTGATAGCGTTTCTTAGAAACGCTGTTCGTTCGAACAGCGTTTCTAACAAACAACGCTTGAAGCGTTGTTCGATAGCGTTTGTTCGAAACGCTGTGGTAGCGTTTGTTCAAAACGCTTTGAAAACGGCGATAGCACAGGCCGGCGCAGCCAGGTCAAAAAAACTAAACACAAATAAACAAACCCAATGCATGGTTCGTGGCATTGCCCCCCTCTAAGAGTGCATCGACCCGATGCTAACATAAGGGACAGTCCACACAAATTAAAAGTTCGTCATCGTCCGTAGAAAGGTTTTAAGCGAACCACATGGACGACTTCGGGCCGCGTGCGTCGTCGTGATGTACGGGAGTCCCCATCGGGGATCACTTCGTACGTTAGTTCGCCAACACGTCGTAGAATCTGGTAGGGTCCGAAATAGCGTCGTAGAAGTTTCTCACTGAGTCCACGTCGTCGAATGGGAGTCCAAACCCACACACGATCTCCAGGATGGTACTCGGCGTCTCGGCGTCGGAGATTGTAGCGTCCGGCATCCACCAGTTGCTGGTCCGTTATACGAGTTCGAGCAAGTTGGCGGGCGTCCTCCGCACGTTGGAGGTATCCTTGGACGTCGGCGTTGAGGTCGTCATCTTCTACGTGCGGAAGCATGGCGTCGAGCATCGTAGTCGGCCGTCTTCCGTAGACGAGCTCGAACGGTGTCATCTGCGTGGTTTCTTGAATAGCCGTGTTGTACGCAAACGTGACGTACGGGAGGACTTCGTCCCACGTCTTATGTTCAACGTCGACGTACATAGACAGCATATCCGCGATTGTCTTATTGAGCCGTTCCGTTAGTCCATTTGTTTGGGGGTGGTACGCCATCGTTCTTCGGTGATCTGTGTTGCTGTAGCGTAAGATTCCTTGCATGAGCTCCGCAGTGAAGGTCGTTCCGCGGTCCGTGATTAGGACCTCAGGGGCTCCATGTCGCAGCACAGTTTGGTTAATAAAGAACTTTGCAACTTCTTGTGCAGTTCCCCTAGGAAGAGCGGTGGTCTCTGCGTAGCGCGTCATGTAGTCTGTCGCTACGACAATTCATTTGTTCGCGGATCGCGATGTAGAGAACGGGCCCAGAAGGTCCATTCGGATCTGTTGGAAGGGCCTCGTTGGGACGGCGATCGGCTGCAGAAGTCCGGCTGGTCTCGTCGGTGGTGTTTTTCGTCGCTGGCAGTCACGGCAGCTCCGGACGTAGTGGGTGACATCGGATGTAAGGCGGGGCAAGAAGTATTTCGCCTTGATTTTTGTAATCGTGCGAGCTGTTCCGAGATGTCCGGAAGACGGGTCGTCGTGGCACGCTTCCAAAATTTCGTCACGAAGGTCTGCGGGGATGACAAGTAGATAATTCGTTCTCGTTCCGGGGTTGAAATTCTTCTTCACTAGGATGGAGTTTTTTAAGCTGAGTGCTGGTAAGTTGCGCTTGAACGCCCTAGGCACGGCGACGTTGCGTCCTTCGAGGTAGTCGATCATGGCGCGGAGGTCAGGGTCGGCACGCTGCTGGGCGGCTATGTCGCTCTCGGTCACGACTCCGAAGAACGCGCTGTCTTCATCGGAGTCCTGTGGTGGTGGGTCGACGGGGGCGCGGGACAGGCAGTCGGCGTCGGAGTGTTTCCTGCCGGATTTGTAGAATATTGTAACGTCAAACTCTTGCAGGCGCAAGCTCCACCGCCCAAGACGGCCAAAGGGGTCCTTCAAATTGGCGAGCCAACACAGTGCATGATGGTCTGTCACAACCTTAAACGGTCTACCATAGACGTATGGGCGAAATTTTGAAATGGCCCATATGATAGCCAGGCACTCTTTCTCGGAGGCAGAGTAGTTTCTCTCCTCCTTCGACAGACCATGGCTTGCATAGGCGATTACCTTTTCGTAACCGCTTTGCTTTTGGACGAGGACGGCAACCAAACCGATATCACTGGCGTCCGTGTGCATTTCCGTTTCGGCGTTTTCGTCGAAATGAGCGAGCACGGGCGGGTTTTGCAGGCGTTGTTGCAGCTCGCAGAATGCCTTTTCTTGGTCGTTTTCCCAGCTGAAAGGGGTGCTTTCTTTCGTCAGGCGCGTGAGTGGATCTGCAATGCGTGCGAAGTTTGCGACGAAGCGCCGGTAGTATGCGCAGAGTCCGGGAAACCTTCGCACACCATTCTTATCTTTCGGCCTTGGGAAGTTCGCAATGGATGATGCTTTTGCCGGGTCAGGTAGGACTCCCGCGGCGTTCACGACGTGACCCAAGAACTTGAGTTCCTCGTACGCGAAACGGCACTTCTCAGGCTTCAGCGTTAACCCCGACGTACGAATGGCCTCGAGTACAGATTCCAATCTTGTGAGGTGTTCGTCGAAAGTCCGGGCGAATACGACAACGTCGTCGAGGTATACGAGGCAAGTGTGCCACTTCAGGCCTGCTAGCACAGTGTCCATGACTTTCTGAAACGTTGCGGGCGCCG